CTTTCAAAACCCATATCCGTTTAGAGACCCTCCTTATTCTGTAATTCAAGCTTTAAAACTAATGTTTATTTCTTTATCCATCACAGTGCTTTTCTCTGTTCACTGGGTTTACTAGCTTTAGTAAAGGGGCAATCTCTCAAAGTGAGGAAACTTCTTTTTAACCTATTTGGAATATGACTTAAAGTTTTTAAGTGCACTTCCTGCTTGCCTAGATCATCTGCTTATTCATTATAAAGGCTTATTATATTAATCAGAAAAAAGTTGAATATGATATATAAAAAGAAATCAAATGTGGAAACAGATATGAAGAAAATGATTGTGAGTCATCTTTCCAACCTCTGCTAAATGTATAAACCTGCTTATTGTATAGAGCAGGGAAGAACTGAACACTAATTCAGAAAAGCAGAGCTCTCAAACATGATCTCAGAGATTGGTTTTTCTCCTAGATTTTCTTTATAAAGATACAAACATTCTTCTTTCTTTCTTCTTTCTTATGCAAAAGGGATAATAATGTCCTAGATCTTATTGTTTTTTTAACAGTGTATGTTATAGGAGATTTTGTATCAGATTATAGAGCATTACTTCATTCTTTTTAAAGCTGCACAGAATTCTTTTGTGTATATACTGTATATAATCAGTCACCTACTGATGACAGGTCTACACTAAATAATATGTATAAATGACCTCTTATATAAATATAAATGAAAAATTTTGAGTAGGATTATTGGGTTACAGAGTAAACATAATTCTGACAGTTATTTTCAAAATACCTTACTGTGGAGGTTGTACCTGTTGTTCTGTCATTAGCATCGTTTCACCATGGCTTCACATTGTAGCAGTATCAAACCTAGTAGTACTTGCTGACCTAATAAGTGAAGACATTGTCGTGTTGAAGGTTTTTCTTAGTGAGAGTGAGGCTTAGCATTTTGTTTTAGAGAAGGTTGTATTTCCTTTTCTATATCATCTTTGCCTGTTTTTCTGTTGGCCTGCTGATTTCTAATTCTCTGTAGTCTCTGTTATAATCTGTCACTAATTAGTTCCAAATATTTTCCCTCGTTTGTCATTTGCCTTTTGTTTTTGGTGTGCTCTCTCGTGTATTTTTTTCTTCTTATGTAGTTGAACCTTTTTTATTGTTTCTGTATTCTAAATCATAACCTAAAATGACTTCCCATGCAAAGGAATGTTCTTGTGTTTTCTTTTACTCCTACTCTGGTTTCATGTCTTTTCTATATAAAGCTTTGATCCATGTATAGCTTATCCTGGTATGAATTCCACTTCATTTTTTTCCAGATAGCTCTCCATTGTCCCATTACTATTTTCTGAAGAATCTGTATTTTCCCCCCACTGATTTGAGGTGGCAGCTTTATCACAGACCAAAGTCATATATTTTTTACTTTTCTTCTGCTTCTTTGGCCTGCCTTCTGGTTATATACCATCCTCATACTGTTGTAACGGCTGCTTTATAATTTGTATAACTAACAATAGGGCTGGTAAGCCCCTCACTGTTCTCTTGTCAAGTTTTTCATGACTACTGTTGATTAATTTTTCTATACGAACTTGAGGATGTTTCACCTTGTTCCAAGATAGTAGTAAGAACATGTATTGTCTATTTTTATATTAAAGAAGAAAAGTCTTGAAAGCTTGGGCTGTGTATCCTCAGTGTCTTCCTCAGACAGACTGGTGATTTCCCAGCATATGTCTGATGTATGCATTTGTGTATCTATAATGCCATAAGCCCCAGGGGTAGGAAAAAGCTTATTCCATTTCAGTTATTACCAAGTAGGAATTTGGTAAATAAAAGAGGGAAACAAAAACTGATAACTTTTAGAAGTTATTTGGATAAATTATTTTTTATCATTTAAATTGCTGGTAAGTCACCTGTAAAGGAAATCAGTAGTAATGACTTTGTATACTTACCTTTTCACATTCCAATTTTCATTGCACTTCAAAGACCCCTTTAAATGGAGCTTCACTTTTTCTGAACATTCTACATTACTGGGAAAGTTGAAGCTATAGTTATGGGGCTTAAAAATGGAAGAATGTGATATTACCTCCAGGTAATATTCATTGTAAGGTCCTTTATGCCTGCTTTCAGTAGTAAATCCTGTTCTCAGAGTGAATACTACCTTCACTGGTGAAATCAGTCATTGGTCACTTTTAAGGGCCTAAACTTTTTGGCTAGCCTCAAACTTTTCTTAAGGTATAACACTTTAATGGTATAAATCATGGTGTTGTACATTTGAAGAATGCCCATAAATTGCTAGGACTTATCTGTTTTACCCAGATATAAGACAGGAGCCTCTCCTATTGTGCCAGAAGGCTAAAGGGGACTTTTAATTTTAAGGATATTGAAATGGTTTAAATTTTGGCAGTTGCTCTGTAAAAGCCAGCTAATCTTTTCTGGTATACTTCTCTTTAGTGTGTATAATTGACTAATATAAAGCACATCACAAATATTAAGGGTGTATTTTGCATATGTGATTTGTAAATAGAATTGTTAGAATCTGTCAGGATAATCCAGATAAAGAATTTGAGAGATCTCACTCCAAGAAGAAAGTAACTGAGATCTGAGACTGTAGCTTGCTCATGAGGTGGTAGCAGAGTAAATGGTAATGATCCTGACTCAGTGCATTACTCTTACTATACTAGCCTACCAAATTCTTTATAATTGCAATTTATATATAATTTTGGCTTATTTTTCTTGATATGGATACCTAATGAAATTACATTTTTTAACTTACCCCTTTGTAGCACAGAAGTGACCATTCTAATGTGTAAAGTTTATTTTAATACAAAATTGGGAGTATGTGTGTCAGTCAGCCAAGTTGAAACTTCAGTTACGTCCTCGTCATTTTTTAGTTCTAAGACTATATACCTTGTAAGATTCTCTCCACTAAAACATACGCCCCACAGGGCAATGATTTAGTATGTTTTTCTCTTATTCACTGGCGTAGCCCAATGTATAAAAACTATGCCTGACATGTTAGGTTCTCAAAATATTTGTTGAACGAGAGTCAGATTCCCTGTATGAAGATCCTAGCTCGTCCTCATTTCCTGGCTGTGTGACCTTGGGCAAGTTATACTATACTTCTGTGACTATTTCCTTATCTTTAAAGTAGAGATGATTAACTATCATTCTTACAGTATTCTAGTAAGACGTGAAGTTCTTGGCACAGTTGCCATTGCTATTACTGAAAATTAAGTTAACTGATGTGCTATTGGTAGGATTTTTCTTTAATTCTGTAACAAGTATGACAATAATTTTTAGCATTAGATATTGTGCTCTTAAAAGTGAGAGACAACTTATCAGAGTCCTCGAAGGATCTTATGGTCTGATTCCCTAGGCTTAAATCACCACCCGAACATGTACTAGCAGGCCATCTCAGATCTTTTTTGGGTAATCTGAAATATAAGGATTATATTAAGCCAAACATTTTTCTCATTAAAGAATCTGTTGGTTTGAGCTGTAGCTGTGGACATTTCTGAACAAGTTTGTCCTTTTCCATGTAGCAATTCCTAAAATATTTGAAAACAAGTATCACATCTCTTTGAGAGACAGCTCCAAACCAAACACCCTTCTTAACTCAAGACACTTTTTTTTGGACAAAGTTCCCATTTTTAACCATCAAGGAATAGAATAACATTACTGTCTTGTCTTAGATTCTGAACTTCTGACATAGCTAGAATAAGACTGGGGGAAGAAGGTAGAGAGTGCTTGTTGTACAGCACATTGTACAGTACAGGTCGTAACTATTGGCTGAGGCCCCCAAGTCTTTTTACCGTGTGATGTATACTCACATTATCCTGTTTCATACGTAGTCATTTAATCTTGCAGGTGAAGGAATAGGAATCTTCCTTTTTATTTTTTAAAATGTTACCTTATTTTTCTTGTTCTGGTCTGTTAAAAGTCCTTTTTTAATCTATCTTATTAATGTTCCCTCTTCATGTCATGTGTCAGTTTAACAGCCTATTTGCCAAGAAATTATAAACATTTGTACATATATAGCTTTGCCTTGTTGAGAAAAATGTGATAATTCTCTGTATTCTGTAGATTTAATATACCTTGCTCTTTGATCACTTGCAAAGTATTTCCTATTATAAACATATGCTAATGTATTTAACTATTATCACATTGATAGATGTTTCCAATTTGTTGCTGTTAATGGCACTGCTGTAGTATATCCCTTCAGTCATATTTTTGCATCCTATATACATTTGCTTCTCTTTAAACATTTTTATTTATTTTTGCATATTTATTCTTCCAAATGAGCTTTAAAATTATGTTTATAAATTCCAGTCTATTGGTATTGCACGGAATATATATTTTGAGGATTGACATCTTAACAATATTGAGTCTTCCCATCAAATACTGAAATTCAAAAGGAATTAAAGGAGAATTCACATTTTTTCTGTGGATTTACGTACGCATGCTTCAGTTTGGATCCCAGTTACAACTGGAGGAGATACGTGATGGGTTTCCCCTTTCCTTGAACTTTAGGAAATGGGGAACTTGATAGTCTGAAGTATATGATCATCTTTTTTCTTCTTGGAATTGTATCACACCTTATGTTTGCCCTTATAGTGATTCAGTTGAGAATCATTTAAAATTTTTACACAAGGACAGTCTGGATTGTATTTTGAGGTTTCCACTGCAGACACTGGACAGGCAATTAGTAGTATAAAAGTTTTAACTAACATGGTCAGAAGAGAGGTATTAGTTACATTTTATGTTTATCTTATTTTTACTAAGTCATCTTCAGCACTGAAATTTTAATCTTTAAAATTTTTCCATAGGAATCAAGATTCTAGTTACAATATATATTTGAAGGGTAGAAAAGCATGACTTCAAACTTAGTATCTACTACAGGATTATTGACAAAATTTTTTATCTTTTTAAAATTAGAAAATGGTTTCCTAGGCCAAAATCCTTTTTCACATGTTCTTTCCATCATTAAAATCTTTATTCTTTGGGTTTTTAAAGTGACTTTTTTTGTTTTCAGAGAAAGTTTCATTGTGCAAACCTGACTTCATGGCCTCGCTGGCTGTATTCCTTATATGATGCTGTAAGTAACTTACCTTACCATGGTAAGCTATGTCATAATTTAGGGTCATTAAAACAAAATAGTCTTTTATACTTGTTGCTATTTTATTTTCAAAACTAATGCCATTTTTAAAATTTAAAGTAAAATAAGGAGTCAAATACTGTTGAACTTTGCCTTTTATACAGTTTTGAGTTTTTCCAGTTTCTGATGGTTTATAACTTAAGCCTAAGACTCTTTAGAGTTTTATTAAGCATTTGAAATTTTATTGGGTCAGATGGTAATTACATCTAGAGAATTAAAGCATCCTTATATAATAATGTTTTGGTTTTTCTCTAAACAGTTTATTTACTTATATCTCCTGATTACATTAGTCTACTAAATAATGCATCCACAAGGGTCTCTGCTCCTCAATGCTTAATACTAGGCATTGCCTCATTTTGTAAAACTTGCTAAAAAACAGGTTGCTGGAATAGTTTACACAATCTGGATTTTGGACCCAAAGACTGGGTTGAAAGCCTGATTTTTATCACTTTACTCTGTGGGGCAAATTACTTTTCTAAGGGCCTATAAAAGGGATAATAGTAGCTACTGCATTTGGTGCATAGTAGGCATTCAACAAACATTAGTCATTTCCCTTACTGAATCACTTTGCCCACGGATCTGGAATCCTGGGAAAACTGAACAAGTAAATTTTGAGCACTTACAACATGCATGACACTAAAGGAAACAGCTTTGCTCTTCAGCAGCTTTTGAATCATTACAAAGACACATTATACAAGAGCATTTTTTGCATATGCTTGTGAAAACATAGTGGACACTTTGATGTAGTAAATAGGTCCCAAGTAAGGTACATAGATATCAAGTGTTAGTGTGATCTATGGGTGCCATAATTCCCATAGGTTGAGTGAGAAATGGCTTCACGGTGGGAGAGAGGCCAGTTCCAAGAAAGAGCATAGAACAGGACAGTTTGGAACATAAATCCCTGGGTCAGTGTCTGGGAAGTCAACTTAGTGATGGGCAAAGGAGCTGGGGGTTTGATCATTACTACATAAGAAAACAGACATTGGGACTCCAATAGGACTGAGATTTTACCACATAGTTATGACTTAAATTGCTACCAATGTATTATATTAATTTTATTAAAAACAGTTGAAAAGCTGACACTAAGTTTTAATAAGTCTCTGAACTTTATTATGGCCACTTTTATTTTAAACAAGGAAACCTTAATGGATAGAATCAAGAAACAGCTACGAGAATGGGATGAAAATTTAAAAGATGATTCTCTTCCTTCAAATCCAATAGGTATGAAAAGCCAATTTCTTTCCAGGGGCCTAGGATGTCTTGCTAAAAAGGAAATAGCTTTCTAACTAAAATAAAATGTTTTAGTTTAGTTTAACAGATTAATATTTCAATTCTGAAAAGCATGATTTCCATTGCTTTGAACAGCTGGAAAAAATGTGTTTTTAAATTAATTATAACAAAATTCTTATATTCTGTGAGCACTCCAATTTTAGGAAAGTTTCCCTTAAAAAGCTCAAATTGATAATAAATGAGTCGCAATCAAAAACAGTTTGAGTGTAAAGACGTTCCTTTCCCTGTTCTTTTTAAATTTTTTTTGTGTAGGCAAATTGCTATGTGTCTAGGGAAATTACTGTGCTTCTAGGAGTTGGCTTTCCCTGTTCTTTTAAGATGCCTTTAAGAGAAGTGATCCGCTGGGTGTGATGGCTCATTCCTGTAATACTAGCACTTTGGGAGGTGAGAGGATTGCCTGAGCACATGGGTTTGAGACCAGCCTGGCCAACCTGGCGAGATGCTGTCTCTACAATAAATTAAAAAAAAAAAATTAGTTGGGTGTGGTGGTGCGTGCCTGTGGTTCCAGCTACTTAGAAGACTGAGGTGGAAGGATCACCTGAGTCCATCACGTCCAGTGGTTGTAAGCATGCCACCACACTCTAGCCTGGGCAATAGAGTGAGACTCCAACTCAAGAAAAGAGAGAGAGGTGACCCTAATACCAGGACTTATTTATATATATCATATATCCTATCTGCTTATGAGGTAGTTTATTTTCCTAGTATTATAGTAAACAAGTGACTTCTAATATGGATTCAAGCTTGTATTTAACATAAAGAAGGCAGCTTTCACATAAACAAGTATGGAAAAAGAAGTTACATTTAGAGGTTAAGTATATATACTTGATAGCCAGTGTATTTTAGTATTGTTTATAATTGTGTAAAATGTGTGCTTACAGGATCTTGTAGAGAAGGCTGTCTTTTTTTTTTTGAGTTGGAGTCTCACTCTGTCTCCCAGACTGGAGTGCAGTGGCCACTCCTGGCCACCGCAGCCTCCACCTGCTGGGCTCCGGCGATCCTTCCTCCTCAGCCTTCCAAGTAGCCGGAATTACAGGCATGCGCTACCACGCCTGGCTGATTTTTTGATTTATCGTAGAGATGAGGTCTCGCTGCCCAGGCGGATCTCGAACCCACAGACTCAGGCAATCCACTCACCTCAGCCTCCCAAAGGCGCGGGATTACAGGCTGAGCCACCGAGCCCGGCTTAAGGCTGTATTTCTTTTCTTTTTTTTTTTTTGAGTTGGGGTTTTACTCTGTCTCCCAGGCTAGAGTGCAGTGGCACACTCAGCCACCGCAGACTTGACCTGTTGGGCTCAGGCGATCCTTTCAAGTAGCTGGAACCACAGACGCGAGCTACCATGCCCAGCTTATTTTCTGATTTATTGTAGAGACAAGGTCTCACCAAGTTGCCCAGGCTAGTCTCAAACCCGAGCTCAGGCAATCCTCTCACCTCGACCTCCCAAAGTGCTGGGATTACAGGCTTGAGCCATCACTCCCAACCTAAGAAGGCTATTATTTCAAAAAGACATTTTCTGTATTATGATATCTGAAGCTTATCTGACTCATAAACTTAAAACTTGAAAAACCCACCATGTCTTCTAGATTTTTCTTACAGAGTAGCTGCTTGTCTTCCTATTGATGATGTATTAAGAATTCAGCTCCTTAAAATTGGTAGTGCTATCCAACGACTTCGCTGTGAATTAGACATTATGAATAAAGTGAGTAAAATGTGTTTGTGATGCCCATGTTTAGTCAGGCTGTAAAATCAGAATGCACTATTGGGACCAACAGAGCTGTCTGTGGAGTCCAATAATGTAGTTATACAATTAAACTGAAAAAACAATTGTTTACCTGCCATGCTTTACACTTAAAATATTTTAAAGTATAATTTAAGCATTTCAATTGGGGTTGTGCAGACAGAAACTAGAACTGTTTTTGTGTTTCTCAAATATGAATATTATCAAACTTTGTGAAAATACTTGATTTCTACACACAACATCTGTGGTTATATATCACTATTTTGTAACCTTTGGAGGTTATTTAATTTTATAAATGAGCCTGTGGCAGATCTCAGATTCAGTGGTTTTCTTAATCTTTAAAACTAAGTTTTTGAGTGTTTTGAAGAAAAATATGATATTCAGAGGAAGCAATACCTTAAACATTTCTTGACCTATATGTCAATGAATGCCAGTTTTCCCCACTGATTACTTTCTCTTAAATTTGTTAGTGTACTTCCCTTTGCTGTAAACAATGTCAAGAAACAGAAATAACAACCAAAAATGAGATATTCAGGTAAGATCTTTGTTATATTCTTAGTATATTTTTAAATACATTTTCAGCTACCTTAGAATTAAAATTGTATTTCTAGTTTTTCATATATTTCTCTCCAATACTTAAAATTACATATACTCAGCAAATGAAATACGGGAAATTAACTCAGTTTTGGTAAAGCCATCTTCAGATTGGGTATTTAGAGCAATAATGGATATGTCAGGGATTACTTATAGCTAACAAGCATGGAAAAGTAAAACAACTGAGCAGTTCTTTTTTTTGAGTCGAAGTCTCACTCTGTTGCCCAGGTTGGAGTAGAGTGGCATGTTCATGGCCTCCGCAGCCTCAACCTGCTGGGCTCAGGCAATCCTTCTGCCTCAGCCTTCGAAGTAGCTGGAACTACAGGCATGTGCTACCACACCCAGCTTATTTTTTGCTTTATTGTAGAGACGAGGTCTTACCAAGTTGTCCAGGCAGGTCTTGAACCCCTGAGCTCAGGCAATCCTCTTGTCTCAGCCTCCCAAAGTGCTGGGATTACAGGCTTGAGCCACCGTGCCTGGCCCTGAGCAATTCTTTATCCCCAAATTCTTCTTGAAAATCTATATATTAGGATCTTACAATCTATATAATAGACTGTCTTCTTAGTGATAAGGCCCTAACACAGGTCCTCAGGTATTATATTTGTCATCAGTTTTGTACATAAGGTCGAAATAGAACATGCTCTCAAAATTATTTTACAAACAATTCATTAGAATTATAAATCAAGAATGTAAGGAAACTACTGTCAGCAAATCAACTGCCCAAGGATGACTACAACAGGACTTTTTCATTGCACTTAGTCTCGGAGACTTCTTTGGATGAACTTGAGCTCTGTATGTTTTCCACTGTGTATCTTGAAGGTTTTCAAAGCAAGTACTATTTCTGTTTGGATCATTACAGAAAACATTTAGACTGAACAAAACTGGGTTGTTTACCAACCCTGTTTTCATACTAAGATCCTGGTATTACTTAAAGATTAAAAACTATGGCTCATACTTCATTTCTACTTTATGAAAAATAGGACCATTTAGAATTAAGACTTTTTTCTTCTCATTGTGACTTATCTTCCATGTTTATTCTTTTAGTTTATCCTTATGTGGGCCAATGGCAGCTTATGTGAATCCTCACGGATACGTGCACGAGACGCTTACCGTGTATAAGGCTTGCAACTTGAATCTGATAGGCCGGCCTTCTACAGATCACAGCTGGTTTCCTGGGTAATATGACAGCAGTGGTTACTTTTTTTTTTTTAATTTAAAAAAAAAAAAACAACTTAATTGGGCAGAAAAACCCAGAATCCTAAGCAAAGTTACTAGAATTATAAATGTATTTAAATGTCCTTTATTCCATGAATGGCTAGAAACATCTGTTGTGCTTTTTGTATCTTGTATGTAACATTGAATGTAAAGTTAGGGAGAAAAAAGGTTGACAACTGCAGTTGTCCTCAAATTACTATACAGTTAACCCAAAATTTCATTTTTCTGTCACCTTATTCTGAATATTCAGTCTTATGGCCCAATAAAACTTGGTATCTGGACTGTGTTCCATAGTAATGTAAAACCAAAGAATGCTTCTCAAGCAGTGGTACAGTAAGAAAATGTAGAAACCACTGAATCCTGCTTTTCTTCTTGTTAGTTTTTTCCCAGTGAGTCTCAAAGTATGATCCTGGGACTAGCAGCATCACCTGGAAACTTGTTAGATTTCCTCAGTTTTATTATCTTTAGGAGCCCTACTGTTTTTTGTTCCAAATTCTAGGTCAGAGAGACAGGCTGAGTAGTGATTATACTTGCTATTTTGGACTTAATACCATGTCACTTGGATTGTCCTATCTTATTTGGCATCCTTTGTAAGGACTAAAACTAGAATTTGTTAATAGAAAATGTGGGATAGCCTAGGGTAAAATATGGAAATGATTACAATTACACAGTTTGGTTTATTTGTCTTAAGATTAGAGGTGCCATGGTTTGTATTTCTGGCTGAATCATGTGATAAAATAATTCTTATTTTAGAATGGTAGTTTTAAAATCTTTTATGAGATATGCCCTTATCCCCTTAACTCACCCAATTTAACTCAGGCAAAAGTTCATATTTCTGTAGGTAGTTGTTGTTTTCGAACTTAACAATAATACAGAAAAAAGGAAAAACCAGTGCAAGTTAGAATGTCATCTTGGCCACCAGCAATTTGTATAAAGAACACATATTAATAAGATTACTCTTTTTCTCTGTAGTGAAGAAAAAATTTAAACATAGCTTAAGAACATAAAAGTCATATATTTGAGTATATATACAACTATGTATTAAAAATTACAACCCTGAATTGTACCCCACATCTTTAAAAGAAAAAAAAGAAAAAAATTACATATAAAAGACCAATGTATTCCCATATGATCTGTCCAAATAATACAATGTTTTTATGAGGTCTGTTTTAGGGAACAATATGAATCAAATCTCAACTTATTCTTTCCTCTTAATTCTCGAAATAGTCTGGCTCTAAGATCTGTCTTTACAATAGATTTATATGATAAGTTTGGGGTACAGAAATGTGTTTCCTAGCTGATATTTTTCCCCTTAATTTTGTAGGTATGCCTGGACTGTTGCCCAGTGTAAGATCTGTGCAAGCCATGTTGGATGGAAATTTACTGCCACCAAAAAAGACATGTCACCTCAAAAATTTTGGGGTTTAACTCGATCTGCTCTGTTGCCCACGATCCCAGACACTGAAGATGAAATAAGTCCAGACAAAGTAATACTATGCTTGTAAACAGATACAATAGGGATAAAGTTCTAAGATCAGATCTGCTTTGGAAATATTGCCTCACATGCATACATAAGTAAACAACATTACATGGAGGGTTGCAGTTTCTTAGTCAAACTGTATTTGGAGATTTAATTTAAAGTATACTTTAGGAGGGGAAGAAAAGCAGTCTAGAACGTAAGTTTGGTTTTAGGAATATCTACTTTGGTAGCCTGGTACCATTATTCTGTGGAATCTGATATGTCTGGCAGTTATGTCATTGATAGGACACAAAGACAGCTTTGAAAGTGATGAGATTATTTTCTGCATAAAACATTTTAAATTTCTATAATGTAAAACGAATCATTTGATCCTGATGTATGGGACAGCATATTTGCACCAGTGCTCCAAATGACAAAAGCTAGGGTGCCAAGCACAAGTACATGTTCCTTTTTGAAAGAGGCAAGGCAATGTGTATCATTTCAAAAGGGCTTTGTTCCTTTAAATTTTCTTTAGCTTCTCTGAGATACTGATTTGTAAAATTTGAAATTATTAAAGAGTTAAAATATGCAGTTTGAGCCTAAAAATAAAGTTTTCATTTCCTTTGTCTGTTAGTGAAAAATAGTATTTTGCATATCTTTTCAGTATTTGTTTGGAATATAAGCCCGGTCATTCTGTTCCATATAAAAGTTATTTTTCAAAGCTTAAGTTTAACTTGAACCTAAACTACTGTGGGGAAAAGGTACTGAAACATGCTCCCTTTATACAGACTAGAAAAGATACTGTACAGTATTTTGTGGGATTATTCCATTCAATGTATACTGAAGAAAATCTGTAAGTAAACCTAAAGAGCAAAACTAAACATGTTCTTAGTTTAAATAACGTAAAATATCTACTCATAATCAAATAATTTAGGTGTTAAGAAATCATTTTTAAGCTAAAGTTCTAAATAGACTGCTTTGCCACCTACCTCTTTATGTATTCAAGGGTTTAGTACATTCTTTCACATTTATGCAATTAACTTTGGTTTAATTGATATTCTTACTTTACATAATTCAGTGAGAAGAGTTAAACTAATTGGGTAAAATGTTTAATCAAGCTAGAGTATGAGGCAAAAACAGACTGTTAAATTTCTTATGCTTTTACCTAACATGCAATGGTTTTGGTTGCCTTGACCGAAGTCATCAATTTAATATTCTGTTGCATGTTTACATAAATAGAGTAAATGAAAAGTGACTCAAGAATGCTGTTGTTCAGCATATGTCCCTGTCTTATTTTTTTCCAAGTCCCACTTTATTACTACTTTTAATAACTTCGGCTTTATATGACTCCACTGGTTGTTCATATAGTCTTATGCTGCACTAAAACTTTCTCTAAGTGGATCCCAGGAAGTTCTTTTCAGTAGCATGGTATATCTCTGGAGACTGAAATCTAAACCAGTTGCAATGAGAGAACATTGCTTTTAATCTTGCCCCCACCACCCAAGGGTATAAACTCAGAATGTTCTATATTTACTAATATTTGCAAATCAAAGTTTCTGATATGTAAAAACATGCATACATTACTATTGAAAAGGGTTTTACATATGACTAAACCAGACCTCTGACACAGGTAAATCTGCATTCCTCCTATATCGAATTAGTAGAGATTCTATGTTGTTGTGTCCAAATATAATGGTTTTAATTACTGACCTGAGTGCAGTCGTTTCTGAAGTTCCCTTTCTTGCAACACAGTCCCTGTTCTCAGTTGGGCTTTTAATAGAAATATTTGCAAAATTATTTTCTCAAGGTCCAAAATTACTATTTGCCCATAAAGTACAGAGGTGCTATAACTGGCTACACAGAAAGGAAAATAAATTTAAAATGTCAGCATATAGCAACTGAAATAAGCAACAGTTTGTGTTATACATCTATTTACCTAATGAAAAAGCACAGAATATACAATAATGTAAGTCATATCCTTTTAATCAATAAAAGAAATTAACATTTAAAGAGACAGCAGCATTACCATTATATACCACCAGATACCACATAAACACATTTATCTTCCAATACCAAAAGCAATGTTTTATTAAAATAATAGGCTCAAGAAAAACCCTCCGGTTAATCCTATAACTTAACTTCTTCAGACTTTGCATGCATAGTTAAAGATATCATTATGACAGAGAAAAATATCAATTACATACTAAAACATAGCTTGCTAGAACAAATTCTGTAAGTATGATTGCCAACCACCAGGGACAAATTTAGAATTCATATTTTACATAGGAGTTTTATACAAATTTTGTCAACTATTTTCTTATTTTCAGGCACAAGTTTATTTTGGAATTCAGATAACTGACACCATAGACAGTGACTGTATGAAGTAACTCAGTTATTTCAAACATTAATAAACATTTTTTCTTTGAGACAGTTACCACTTTTTAAAGTTAATCTTAGTACCACTCTATGTAAAATAAAATTTATTTTAAAAGTCTAAACAGACTAAGATAGGAGAAGTCTACTATACATTTTTTTTTTTTAAATTGTAGTCTCACTTTGTCTCCCAGACTAGAGTGCAGTGGCCGCTCCCTCCCGGCCACTGCAGCCTCGACCTGCTAGGCTCCGGCGATCCCTCCGCCTCAGCCTTCCAAGTAGCTGGAACTACAGGCGCGTGCTATCACACCCGGCTAATTTTTTGATATATTGTAGAGATGAGGTCTTGCCAAGTTGCCCAGGCGGGTCTCGAACCTGCAGGCTCAGGCAATTCACTCGCCTCAGCCTCCCAAGGCGCAGGATTACAGGCTGAGCCACTGAGCCCAGTTTACTTTTTTTCTCATTTGGAATAAATCCAAAATAACGGTAAAGTTCAATAACATAAATGAGATCAAAAGGGGGTGGTTTTCAGTTTACTTCCTAAAATACAATTATATTTCACAAAAATAAGATCTTTGTTCTCTTAAAGAGGTCGTCAAAGCTGGCTTTTTTTCTGCTATAGATTCTTAAATCTCACTAAATGGGAGGAAGAAAAAAAAAGGCCATACCGGAAATGTTCTATTTTTTAGTAGCCATCAGTTTTAGGTCTTCTTTATGTAACTTAGAAGTTCATCTTTTTCCATTTGGTAACCACTTTTTTTCCACTGTTCTCGCAACTGTTGTAATAAAGCCCCAATTTCCTTCCCTGAAGAAATGCCCACTTTTCTGATGTCATGGCCACTGACAGGAAACGGAGGAATGGACCACTGCTGCATTTCCTTTAGGAGACAGTGCTCTCCTTGGTACTTCAGTAGTTCACATACACGAGTAGTCACATCAGGTTCCCTAGACTATGTACCAAAATCAAACATTTAGCTTCATCACATGTTAGAACACTCACTTATGATCTTATCCTTAAATTTAACTACTAAATGCTTGATATGAATTTATTTAAAATAAGTTAAAATTCACAGTAAATTGGAGGTCTTAGTTTTAATAAATTAATTCTACAATCAGTGAAAATAATTTACATTCTGACCAAACCTAGTACATACTTACATCTATAATGAAGTCTTGATAGGGTTTCAATGGTTCTGAATTATCTGTTGCTTTAATTAAATCTTTCCTGTTTTTAACTATAAATAAGCCAAGGTTCTTCTCTTCTTTTGCAATCTTCAACCTCAAATCCAATTTTGTGACATCATCCTGTACTTTGAATAATGAGGCCAAAAGAGTCATTGGCTTTGGTGAAAAGCCTTCAACATTTTTACTGACTTTGTTAAATTCGTCTAAATTTGCATTAGCAGGTAAACCTGTAGGGACAAAAAGCATTTTTCACCTGCTTTTAGTGGGGAAAAAAACACTCATATATTAAACCCAACCACTGTTTTAGTATACAGAAATGTCCTATCAGTAGGATACATTACAGGTCCAATCTGATGCTCCATCTTACAGGTAAACCACTACCACATTATTGCTGTCCTTCTCCTGTATCACTCTCAAACCTAGGGGAAGCCCCTAAAATGTCGTTGCCATCAATAAGCTACATCGAGAGGTTCAGAGGTAGTGGTGATAGTGGTACCAGATTCACAAGGCATAGTTTTTCCAACCACAAACTCCTGACTTCCTACTGATAAACTATCATATAACACCCACCCCTCCATTCAGAATTGTGCCTTTATCTGAAAAATTCCCAACTTTCCTGAGGTGTGACAAACCCTACAATCCCACTATTCTTTGTGAATATATAACACATACTGAACAATTTCTATGTTCTAAAAGTGCTCTATATGTATTAACTCATTGAATCTTCTTAGCTTTTCTAATAGATAGATGCTATTATTTTCAAACCCCTTTTTTAGATCAGAAAGTAACCTAAGTCACAAAGATAAGGGGCAGAGCCTCCATCAAATCCATATCTGGTCTGGTGCTGGAGACCACTTTGTATGAGTACAGCATGCATGCTGTCTTTAAACTATCCCTAGTCATGACAAAACTGTCCTACCCCATACCCTAAAGTTTATCTTACTATATAAAATGTTCCCATTTTTTTTCTCACTAAGAATACAACTAAATGAGTCAAACATTTTTCCTCTTAGGACATATAAAACTAGATATTTCATTGCCAAAAATTCAAACATTTATAACTTGCTCTCACCTATATAAGGAGCCACATCAAGATCATAGATAAGGTGAATCAAATGATTTACATGGTTACCAACAAGAATTTTTTTCAGTTCCACCCAAATCCTTTCTCCTGATATTCCAGCCAAACCTTTTGCATTTTCTGCAATTGCTTCCAAAGTCTCAGGATCATGGTCACCAGGTTTGTCTACTATTCTCCCATAAAACCTGCAAGACAAAAATCTTCACAGTGTATTACCTCAATATTGGCACAATACAATGTTCTATTTAATGAAAAATGACATAGAATTAGTTAGGTCTAGGATGGTCCTTGGAAATCAACTGGTCAATTCTCCACCTCCTCTTTTATTCTAGATAAGAAAACCCCAGATCTAATAAAATATAAGTAGCCTTCTTAAGGTTAGCAAGAACTAGAACCCCAAAGTTTCTATTTCACTTCTTAATCACTGACTAGATGCTCAGAATGGTCATCAAATGCAGTTTCTGAACTGGCACTTAAAAGTGGATGAAAAAAAACAGGAACTGAACAAAGACACCAAAAGAAGACTAGAGGGCCACAATGGAGCAGACTTATTCCCTCAAAGCTTGACTGTATGCAGTATGTACACATTAATACTTTTAATAGACCAGGCATGGTTTTCTTTTTTTTTCTTTTTGGGAGACGGTTTCACTCTGTCACCCAGGCTGCAGTACAATGGCACAATCACAGCTCACTGCAGGCATTCATTCTTGAACTCCTAGGCTCAAGTGATCCTCCTGCTTTAACCTCTCAAAGTGCTAAGATTATAGGTGTGAGGATACCTATAGTCCCAGCTACATACATGGGATCTCAGAACTGGAAGCCTTAATGTACATCTGTTCTGCCACTCATACCCTTAAAATTCATTAGTGATCTAAACGCTCAATAAATATAGCTAAATCTTGATCCATGTTTTATTATTTGTAGACAGAGACTTTTGGAAAATACTCAAGTTTAGAGAAATAGTATTTATTGATAAGGTATATATGATCTATTAC